CTACTAGGAGCAAGGACGCTACTAGGGGCTCCTGGCATCGCTACTAGGAGCATTGTACTACTAGTAACAAGAAGTAACTCATATGACTCCTGGGTCTATGAACTTGTCGTCCAGACGTGAAGGGAGTGCTGATTTGACTGGACCCATTGCCGCCTGTTGCCTGCCGCTTTGCTGATTGGGAAGGCTTCCAGCCGCGATATGCTCTTCTGGAGCTTCTGCTTGTTGACATTGGTCCAGGGTGTGGCGTGTCTCATCGTCAGCCTCTTGGCGCAATCGCAGTGGGGACCGGTCCCAGTGGATCCGACCAAAGTCTCCGGAGAATTTCGACCCCCGCGTAAAAGGCCAGAACTTCCTGTCAGGATCAAGCTTAGCTCTCAAATTCAAGGGCTGAATTTGCCTCAGTCTGTTTGACCCAATCGTTTCTCCACCATGCCTGTTGGGGTGGTGGAAAGCTAGAGAATCTTAAGATCAAACAAACGCTTCACTTTCTTGTACTGCTACCAGATACAAGAAACCTATAGAAACCGTTGGGGGATGAAGCTCGTGCAGAAGCTGAGGCACACTTTGTCGGGATTTCGTGGAAGACCCGACCTACACGCTGCCGGTGAGGGAGGAGGTCACAGTTGCCAGTCAAGATACCTAGTAGCATCCTTGCTCCTAGTAGTAAGGCCAGGAGCCCCCAGTAGCTTCCTGTTCCTAGTAGCGATGCCAGGAGCGCTGTGTACTCAAACTCACAACCAAGGCGTTTTGAGTGAGCCTGACTTGGATCAAGTGTTCTTGTTTCCAGTAGCAATGGTATGGGTACTATAGTCAACGCTGTGACCCAGTGCTGTGAAGCGTGAATGTGTAACTAGGAGCAAGGACGCTACTAGTAACAAGTGCATTACACTAGTAAGAAGAAGCTACTAGGAGCAAAGGGCATCGCTACGAACGGAGCAAGGACGCTACTAGTAGCTCCTGGCCTTACTAGCAACAAGAAGCTGACATTAGCTGACCCACTCTAATCTGAAAGCATTTGCAGGTCTACCAGTACTATGGCACCTTCACTCGCAGTTTTCTCACGATGCAGCCCGGACATGACAAATACTGGGGTGTGGAGTTATATATGTTGTATTACGTTGTATCTTCTGAGCGTGAGGAACGGCGGTTTGGGCTAAATGTTTCATGACCTCATGAGGTTGTTGTTCCTTTCATCTCTTGATATATGCAGACCTGGTGGTGTTTTTGGACTTCAAGCCTCCTGTGTCTGGGTGTAGGCGTAGAGCTGTATCCGCGTGTTTTGCTGATGCTGAGGTGTTTGCAAGCATTTGTATGATCCTTGCATGCTGTACTTGAGATCAAGATTCAAGATAATGGCCTCAAACCCTCGGCCTGACTAGAGTCCCTCAGTTTAGATTTCAACTCTCTCTCTCTCTCTTTTTTCTTGTCTTTCTGTTTGTCTGTCTGTCTTTCTTTCTTTCTTTCTTTCTTTCAGTTTGTCAGTCTGTCCTGCCACGCCAGGGTAGCAGACCTTTTGTGAGCCATACGAGGGCAACATTTAGAGGAGTAGTAGACCTTTGTGAGCCATGCGGGGGTAGAATTTAGAGGAGCCATTCCAGGTAGCAGACGTTTTGTGGGCCAATTGAGGCAGGTCTACATCTACAAAGACCCAAAGGCCTGGAGATCCAGACAGATCTAGAGGTGTAGAGGTCTAGAAACCCAGAGATCTAAAGATGCAGAGGTCCGCGAAAACTTTTTCGGAATGTTGGGACATCGCGGCCAAGAAGGGTTCTTGCGCGGAAGAGTGCGCGATTCAATGTTTGACCCTCTAGTCGGAAACTGACTTTGCCAAACTTCATTGTCGGGACACACGAGGTCCACCAAACCAAACCGGCTGGCAATGATTCCGGACTCACTTTACCCACCTGAGCGGAACTGAAAGCTGCAGGCCCGAGCAAGTTTTTGAAGACCCCCTTCCGAATCTAGCGAACATTCTAAATTGAGTTTGCCATCTGGGTCCTCCCATCAATCTTTGGCCCTCTGGACCTCTGACTATGAACGCCCGTCTTGAAGACCAAAGGAGATGGACGTGCTCATACTGCCCACCGGTCTCAGTCTGCCGTCGCGCGCTGAGCGTCTCGTAGATAAACTAATGACCGCCGCCTCGTTTTCTTTCTTTGTTTGTTTGTTTCTTTCTCTCTTGCGCCAAAGTGAACTCCTGAAAGTGCAGGGGGCCGTTATTCGCGCGCTCGGTGAACCAACTTGCGGATCTAAGTGGCTCCGACATACGAGGGCATCAGCTCCATGTATTCTCACGTATCACTTTAAGCCATTTTGCGGCTGCGTGGTGATAAGCCAACAAAAGAGCTGGACTGTGGACTCCGAAGGGTTTCCCTGGCATCGTCAACAGATGTGTTTCTGAATGGGGCCTTGGAGGTGGAAGCGCCCTCATGTTCCCCCTATTCCCCTTTGTGGTGCCCAGTAGCCAGCTCTGGATTTTTCATTCCATAATCTCGGCGAAAGCGCGCGGAGATCTTGTGGTCAAAGCGCCAAAGTGCAGGGCGCCGGGACTCGTTTCCCGATTTTCGATACTGTGCTGACAGTTGGAAGTGGGCAAGGCGGATGGCTGTGCCATCCTGAGTGGCTCGTCGGTGAGTCCGGCGTGTTACAATAAAATGAGAAAGGAGAGTGTTTCTCACGTGTTCCTTGTCGGAAGGAGTACGTACCAAGCTGGACTCACCTGGCCTGACAATGCAACATTGGACTGAGGATGAGACCATCTTGCGATGGTTGTCGCAACTAAGGAACCTTACTGGATGACCGGTATGGCCGCCGGACTGAGGTGCGGCGCCGCGTGCTGCTGCTGCTGCTGCTGCCGCTGCGGCTGCTGCTGCTGCCGCTGCTGCTGCTGCTCCTGCTGCCGCTGCCTAGCATACTCTATGAACTGCGCGGTGGGGCGAGCTGCTGATAAGCTGCCACCACCTACAACGTTCTCTCTCTCTCTCTCCCTCCCTGATGCCTGGATCCTTTGCCCTTCAAGTTACATTCTGAGCCAAGGTTTGAGATCATGTTTGCGAACTGGGGGCCACCATGCCGAGTGTTGGTGGACAATGCGACCTGGACTTTGAAAAAAATTGATGTTGTTAGCTAGGGCAGACGTCAATATCCGAGCCGCGTAGGATGAATCTGCTTGTTGGCACGGCACGATAGCCTCCAACCTTTTTTGTGCATTTGACTTTCCTGCGTCAACTTGTGCTTTGTGTTTGAATCAGGTTTCTTCAGCAGCTTTGCTGTTTCAATAGAAAGACTGATTGTTTCTCCTGAGATTTGACCGTTGTTTGAGTGCAAGACTTAAATGACGGTGTCACCACAAATATCTGAGGTCTCGGAGTGGTTTTCAGCATTCTTTCTCTTCTATCGGTGTGTGTGCCGTGTCGGAGATTTGGGAGGGGCCAAAGCGCTTGGATTGCTCTAAAGTTCATCGCGTGCGGGTTTTGACAGACTACCTTGTCCAACTGGTATTGACATGTATTGACATTTTGGTGATTTTAGTGCCTTGGCAAATATTTTTCCAAATGCGCAAGGTGAAACCGCAACAATCCGGCCAGCGAAGTCAACCCACACAACCCGAAACCAACATTTAAGGCCAAATATGTTCTGGTTCGGTTGCCTCGGGGGAAGTGCTATGCCCTCCCCTTTTCTAATTTTTTTCGGTTTCTCGAAACAACCAAGATCAACCAAGTTAGACAAACCACAACCGAAACAAATCCAAACCACATCCCACTCCCGGGCTTGTGTGTTCTGCCCTCCACGCTGTGAGGGTGTCATCTAGCTTTGAGGTTAGGGGCGGACAACATGGCACAGTTTCGAGAACAATCACAACGTTGTGACGACATTGACTGTAGCAGTATGGCATCCAACTCAGAAAATGACATGGTCGGCACTTTCTATGGCAGCCAGAGCAGATTCATCAATTTGCCCCAGATGCTTCGCCTAAAAATTTGTGATAGGTCCCATAGGTGAACCAAATGTTTCGCTGGGTTTGGCCGGTCTTAGAGGTCTTAGAGATGCGATCGGTTCACCCTCCGACGCTCAGGCTAGGCTTTGCCGTTTTGAATGTCGTGAACGCGGTCTTTGCTTCTTGGCGACAATCGAAGCCTTGCAGCTACAGCGTAAAATTGGATTTGTTTGGGACAGCAGGTTTTTTGTCATTACGTTTGCAGCTATTAATCTCGAGTGCAAATCGAACTCTCTTCGCTCACTGGAGGTCCAACAAACAATGAAGACGGCCAGCTCGGACGAAGACCTTGCGTTCAAGCAAAAGCAAAAGGACATGGCCACTTATACCAAGAAGGCCGCATGCCGTGATCGCATGCTTTTGACTTTTGATGTACTTTCAGACGATGATGGACGATCCAATGTCAAGCTCACTATGAATACTTATCAATGAGGTCAACTCAGGTTCTTCGCTTAGCTGGAATGGCTGAGGATTGTCAAACTCAAGGTATTTTTGACTGATGAATTGGAAGTCGCTGAAGCTGCCACAGGTGAAGAAGCTCTTTTCAACCATCGACTATTCCGGGGATGGTTCCATCAACTTGGACGCTGAGCTGATGTGCAAGATGAACTGTACTTGTAGAAGATGGTGCGGGCAGAGCACTGCAGCCAACCACATAACACATCAGAAATCAGCCACCAAAAAGCGACGATCCAAACCATAAAAGAAAAGAAAATCAGAGCAATACAAAAACAGATGCTTAAAGAGTTCCACAAAGAGTTTTTACAGACGTGACAAATCCTTGTCACTAGAGAGAGAGTTCCATAATCTCATGAAGGGATTGAGGCGAATTGTGTCGTGGATTGATTGCTAAAGGAAGAGAAGAGAACGAGAGGATTGATACCAAATACATTCAATGGTAAATTGCATCATAGTCCTGTGGGAGTCCTTCCCCTTCAAGAAGCAAGTGGTAGTACTCGTAGCAGTTGCAGTGACATAGCAATACAAATAGCACTGGTATGTAGTGGTTGTGGTTTCGAACTGGCAGCGGTAGGAATGCTAGTAGCCTGAAACAGAGGTGTTGGCCTGTTCAATTTGATCGATTGGCGCAAGACATTTTCAACCAGACAGACACAGACTTGAAAGCGGTTCATGTGAAGAACCATTGGTGCTTTCCACTTCTTCATTAGTTTCTTGGAGTGCTTTCCACAGCCGAGCTTTCCCTCCCAAGCAGCCCAACAGGATTTGCTTTCTATTGCGTTCTGCCTGCCAGGAAGAGTTCTCAAAGTTGGTGAAATCGCCCAAGCTGCAGTTCTGGAGCCGGGCTGGGAAATGAACACATTGTTCATGTTTCTGAATCGGTCCTTTTGTCTTCAATACTGTGTTGTAGATCGTTTTCGCTACAAGCCAAGCCAGATTCGGAAGCTACTGCGTGCAATTTGCAACTTAGAAGTGCTGCGAAAGTCTTTTGCAGACAAAACTGTTGAATACGGTTCCTTTGACAATTTGACGACGTTCTGATGACCCGTTTTTTACGTTTTTCTTTTTGAATGAGATAGTCACTGTGCCGGAGAGGATGAGCCAATTAGAGTTAGAGTACCACGATCTTCTCAGCCTTTTCGAATTCCTGGACAATGGAGACGGCGAGATTACGATGCTTGGATTCATGCTCGTGTGCCGTGCGTTCTCTTGCAAATCTCTTTATCCTAACGGAGCGCTATATAGTTTTTTGTTTTCTATTTCTACTTTTGTTCGGGTGATCGTTTCAACATGGAACCATTACGAAACATGCGGGTTTGAAGATCATGCGTGACTTACTGTAGTTGAATTCAGTGCATGATGTGTGCTGTCACTTGTGCAGGCACCTCAGTAAGTGGATAACACAATGGTGAGTTTTGACATCGCAAATCTGTGAAACTGACATTGTGTGGTCCTACATCAAGCAAAACAATTTGACATCGAACTCCACTTTTGATGTTTCAAATCACTTCTATAATCTGCAAACAATTTGCGTTTGTTCCATGACCCTCCAGTAGCGATGTTATAACATGGGAGATCAGCACATCATGGATCCCACATTGGTAGTAGTTGTTGTCGTAGTTGTTGCTGCTGCAAAGTCTTGCTTGTGTGCCAGTTCCGGTTTGTGACTGCCATCGACTGGTTGGTTTTGAAGGGTCCACTTCTAGCACAATTTGAGCACTTTTGCATTGAGTATACACGCATGATTGTTCAACAGCCGTTGTTGGCACTGAGATTGGTCATTTGCTGGAGATAACCTGATTGAATTTCAATTTCCCTTTGCTCCAGGACGGTCCAAGCAAAACCTTGGACACACATAGGACTTTCCCCAGTGCACGAGTCTATGGGTCTCAGATGGTCTCAGGCTTGTGATTGACAGGAACACATACACAACATATCTCTATATACAGTATTCTTATTATTTTTTCCTGCGCTAGTGGTCTCAGAGTCTATAATCTCAGGCTCATGGAGTTTATTGACGGTGCCGTCCGGCTCCGTGGCAATGCAAAAGCTCTGGATGTCTGGCGCATGGAGACAAAGTTGGAGGTCCTTATGCAGGAGGCCAGGGTGGAGGATCGTGTTTGTCCAACCGTGGTCGAAAGCTTGATGCAATATATGCTGACTGAAGCACAGTCTTGAACTGAGAGCCACCAAGTTTTGGCTTTCCTTTTTTCTATTTCTGGAGTCCCACAAGCAATTCATGGCTGTTTTGTAGAGACGCAAGCCCAACAAACTTGCAATGGACACCTATCATACATTTTTCAGGATAACATAGAACGCGAGCTGACATTCTCAGTTTCGTTTGCGACCCAGACCGACTTGGTTGGGGCTGAGGGCGTCAATCTGTCTTTTATGAGTGTGGGTACCTAGTGAGGGCTACTTTCTGAGCCAGAAAAGGGCATAGAAAAATCACTTGATAGCAACTGTAACACCTATGCATGGCCACTCCTGCCCCTTGATCCACCTTGCAAAGGTTTGGAAACTAACACAGAGTGAAATTCCAGGAGTCAGGTCTCCACCGGAATCAATTTCTGAATCTAGCATCAAAAAAGGGTTGAAGAGATTGATATATGATATATATATATACTGTATATATATATATACACACATATTTAGCAAAACAGTGGCCAAACACCGGGTGACGAAACTTAGCCAGGTTACCAGGAAGATCGGCTGTACACTTCTGGCTCGTAATCACTGGAGTAATCATTGACTCGTTTTCGTCAACGCAGTGAAAAAGCTCTCATGCAACAATTGACCCAGGCTTGGGTGACATTGGCAGCAACCCTCTCTGCAAACAGCATCACTTGTATTCCCAAGCAAGGCTTCATAAACCAGCATACAGGAACTGCCCCAGAGGGTATTCAAAATGTCCGCAGAACACAATCTGCACACGCCAAGTAGCTATACTAAAAACCATTAAAGAAGTACAAGGTAAAACAACCAAAGCAGACCAACCTCACAAGCAACAAGGCTCCAACAATCACATGAAAGCATACAACAAACACAACTCGCGTACCTCACTCACTAGATTGCCTCATCGGCAAGCACATAAACACCATATTCAATAGCAAAACTAACATACAGACAAATTATAACGAGTTCTAACCAGAAGCAACAAAGGAGATTTGAAAGAGCAAGACTCCCTAAACTTTTTCTGACGCTTGAAGCGATCCAAGTGAATACATAGGCACTTGGATGCAGCTATGATTAGGATCCACTGCCAGAGAAGATTGCCTTCTGAGTTGAAAGGCGTTTCGACAGAGGTCAATTTGAGGAACATGTTTGAACATGTACTAAATTAATAGTTGGTGGATCCTGCCTGAAAGCTATTCTTGGTGCAGGTCCTCAAGGTGTTGAATCCAGTGGAGCTGGGAGAGACCAGTGTTCAAGATGTCTTCAACAACTCTTCGTGGCTTAACTTGAGTGAATCCGTCCGTTGTCTTTTTTCCGTTCCGTCCGTTGCCTGTAATCTTCTCGTCCGGTTGGCCAAAGGACGAAGAACTCACTCATGACGTGTCATGACCGATTTTGACACATCCTGCTTGTAGGCTCGAGGGTTAGGCGAAGTTGCTTTAGGAGGTATGGATGGGGATGTGTACACCCCCGATCCTGAAACGAGCGCCAAAATGCTCAACCTCCTGAGCGAGGTGGGTCTCGTGGGGGCCAAGCTGGCCGTAAGCCATGGGACCGAGGCTTCGCTGGCGAGACAACTCGCCGATAGGCTAGGGATAGAGCAGGCGCCATGGCATGTGGTCTTCATCACCGGCCAGGTGAGAGAGGCCGTGCAGATGGCCGATCTAGATGAGAGAGTGGCGGGGTCTTCTTCCACGAGGTCCATGCAGAATGTGTTGGATGCGAGGGCACACATGGAGAAGGAGAGGAAGACAACCCTCGAGCCTCAAGTAAGCACCCTCGTCCTGCCGGGATTGCCTAAGAGAGGCACACTGGGTAGGACGGTTCGGTTGAAGAGTGGACGGATTGCAGCAGAGAATGAGGTCGACCAGAAGGTCCTTTGCAAGCTGGTCGATGAGTTGGAAAGATTTAAGGCCCCGGTCCTTGAGGAGATCAAGAAGTCCAGGAACCCTCTGAGGGCGAAGGAAGCTCTGTTTGGAAAGTACCGCATTTCAACGATTCGGCGGTACCTGGCATCATGGCAGCGCTTCAGGGTGTGGGCTGAGTCACTGGGTGAGCCCGGGCATAGACCGAGCAGTGTGGTGTGTACGCCAGAGAGGAGGAAGGCATGGGGCCTTCCATACCGCTGGCAGTCAGCACGGCGGTGGCTTGGTTTGAGAGGACGGCCGGGGTGGAGGAGGAGGAGCAGCTGATGAACCAGGTCTTCCCTCAAATGGTGATGAGGGAACTAACAAGGAAGCTGGAGGCAAATGCACCTCCGATCAAGAGGGCACCGCGATGGTTAGGATGTTTCGTGGCCCCAATGGAGACCCTGGTCGTGGATGGGGCGGTTCCATTCGAGGTCAGGGTTTGCGCCTGGTTCAAGCTCCTCAAGCTCTGGACGTCGATGAGGTTTGACGATGCAGCTCATTTGAAGATGTCGGAATTGAGGTTCTATGATGGGCAGCTGATGGGAATGATGCACCAGTCGAAAACCTCAGGGGCAGGGAAGCGAGTACGAGAGTTGCCAATCTACATTGCGAAGGATGCCTATGTGCTGCATAGTGATTGGCTCTCCATAGGCTTCGAGCTGGTGAAACTGCAGATGCCGAGGGACAGAGTGTACGCATTCCCTGAGGGCTGTTTCTATGGCACCAGGTATGGGACGTCGCGTGTCACCTATGCCGAGGCGGTCGCGGGGAGCACGAGGACCATGGCAATGCTGGAGGGCTATGATGGCAATTTGATCCCCTCCGGATGGGAGAGGTTTTGGTCAGAGCACAGCGAAAGGGCGACACTGCCCAGTGGCTTGGCCGCTCTCGGCGTTGAGAAGTCCGACAGGGATTACCTTGGCAGGTGGTGCCCGGAGGGGTCGGACGTCTATGTCCGGACCTACAACGCAATTGTGAAGAAGATGCAGAAGAAGCTGGTCACAATCCTACGTGGCGAGACGGCCTACGAGGACCTGGACAAGGGGTCAATTCTGGAAGAGCTAAAGCTTTGGCTCACGGAGAAGTGGACAGTGGCGGAGGACATGGCAGACAGTGTGGTTGAAGCTTGGAAGGAAAAGATTGGAACGAGGGGCATGCCGCCGTCAGCAGTTTCCTTGTCAGAGGAAGCCACCACGATCTACAGCGGCTCACAGAGTGACGGGGGCACTGAAGAGCCGGAAGCCAGGGATGCCAAGAAGAGAAAGGTGAAGGAGACCCTGGATGAAGAAAGAGAAGGCAACTATGTGGTGGTGTACAGGCGTGCCGGGAGAGGCACGTTGCACAGGTTAGGAGAGAAGGGCTGTTGGATGGCAAAGAAAAGGTTCTTTGTGCGGTCTGAGATCCACAAAGCATTGCCCGAGCCCGAGGAGTATGCACTCCGGTGCAAGCTGTGCTGGGGTGGAGGTGAACAGCGATTGAGCGAGTCCACAAGTGACTCGCACGACGAGCTAAGCCTCAGCGACTAAAAGAGTTGTTGGGGGAGGAAGGAAATGGGGCGGACGGGTCCGCATTCCTCTGGTCGCACCAGGGGCGGTTTCGCATACCTCTGGTCGCGCCAGGGGCGGATAGGGAGCAAGAGCGCATGTGCCCAGGTCGCACCTGGGGAGGAAAGCAAAGGGACTCTAAGCCGAGCGCGCCGCTCAGGCTTGGGGGCGGTGTGCAACATGCGCGCGGGAGCAGCCTATGGCGGACGAGGCGGGGTCGCGCCTCACAGGGCGCATAGGGCTTGCTTTTCACATAGCATGTGAACGGGGCAAGTGCGTAGCATGCACTGGGAACACAGCAGTGTTTATGGCAGCATCGCATGCTGCATATCTGGCCGGTATGTCCAGAAGGGTGTGGGCTCAAGATCCGGGGCGGTATGCCTAGGAAGGTGCTCACGGAAGATGAGGGCAACAAAGCCCTAGACGCGGCCGGCGCAGACATAAAGTACTTGTTTTCCAGGCATGAGGTCAGCATAGACAACCAGAAGCTCTTTTTCCATCATGGAGTGACCACCCTGGAGAAGCTGTCGAATTTTGCGAAAGACAGAGATGATCTTACAGCAGTGCTCAAGGAGCATTGGGAGCTTGATGCAGAGAGGGCTTTGGATGAACGAGTGCACATGGCCGCAATCTCGCGTGCATTCAGTAATGCAAAGACGAGGAGCCAGAGGGCAGCGGAGGTGGACGCAGAGTACGATTCGCTGCAATGGTCAAGGCCAGTGGTGGCGGGGGAATGGGCGGCGATGCGGTCAGCCCTGGAGAAGAGGTACGGGCACTTGGAAGACAAGGTGTACCCCGCCAAAGAATATGTTGAAAAGAAGTTGGCCGAGATTGAGGGCGGCGAATACCGGGCTGAGGAGCTCACAGAAGTTGTGTCGAAAGAAGAAATTGAGCCGGATTGTGTGGTGCCCATTTGGGACTCCAAGGGCCGTTTGGCCATGAAGAGAGGATCCACAAAAGTGCAGGAACCGGCGAACGCCGAAGAACTACGCAGAAGATTGTCGGTCTTGAAGAATGCAATGGTTATGATCTCGTTGAAGCATTCCAACAGACACGAGCTTCAAGGCACCTGGGAGGAAACAATCGAGCAATACAAAGATTATTTGCTGGATAAACTATGTGTATGGGCTCAGTGCCAAGGATGCCGAAGGCCAAACGTTTGCCTCACCACCCTGGAAGTTGGTCATTGCCTATGAGAGGGCAATCCGGAAGCAGGCAGTAAAGATCGTCAACGCGGAAGGCAAGCCGTACACGGTGGCACTGAAGATAGCATGGAAGGATGCCACGGTCAAAGAGCGGAATTTCACAACACCGCTGGCACTCTACGCCAAGCGGCCATTGCCTCCGTGGCGGGAACAGCCACCAGACAAGTGGAGGGCCCCAGAGAAAGGCGAGAAGGGCAAGGAAAAGGGCAAAGGGAAGAAGGGCAAAGGCAAAGGGAGCCCGCACTGTGCCACCCACACGCCTGAGGGTGATCTGATTTGCTTTAGGTACAACACACCGGGTGAGAAATGCAAGGCGGCCAAATGCAAATACCGCCATGTGTGCGGGATATGCTTCAGTGAGAAGCACCCGCTCTTCGAATGCAATCCAAAGAATCGAAAAGAGGCCACAGCCCCGGATACGACGGGGACAGAATGAGGGACTCTGCGAGTCCTCTACGTTTTCTCAGAGGAGAAGAGGCGCACATCAGTACCTGGCTTCCTGAGGAAGATGGCACTACGAATGGGCGTCCAGGTGGAGCTCACCACATTGGATACCCACAACAACAGAAAAAACAGGTTTCACCATACCCGCTGTACAGAGGGTATGGCTGCAACTCATTGCCCAAGGCATCCACTACGCAGTCCTTGTTGCACCACCCTGTTCGACCTTCTCAAGAGCAGTGGGGGCAAATGATCTGGGTCCGTACCCGTTGCAGAGCTTTGTTACTTTTTCACAGGGAGGAACAGGCGCACATCAGTAGCTGGCTTCCTGAGGAAGCTGGCACTACGAAGGGGGGTCCAGGTGGAGATCACACAATTGAACACCCAGAATGTCAGACAAGCAGATTTCACCATACCAGCTGTACAGAAGAAATGGCTGCAACTCATAGCCAAAGGCATCTACTACGCAGTCATGGTGGCACCGCCCTGTTCGACCTTCTCAAGTGCAGCGGGGGCAGGTGATCTGGGTCCGTACCCGTTGAAGAGCTCCACATGCCTGAGGGGGTCCCCATGAAACAAGGGAGACCGCTTTTTCAAGGCAGAATTTGAGATGATTCTGGCCAATTTTTCCTTGGAGGCCCTGAAGCGTCACATTGCATGCCAGCGCAGAATAGGCCTCATGGGACAGCCCGCAGGCCTAGGCAAGAGTTCTTATGACAGGATGTCTGGACACACGCCAGCGTCCATGTGGCAATTCAAGCAAATTCACACTTTGTTGAAGTTGGAAGGATGCAAGCGGTGGTTTTCTCACAGCGGCAATTTGGTACGATGTCACCCAGGCCAACGGGTTCCTTGATGAGGCTCTTCGCACCACGGCACCTAGCCGCGCACACTGGGCTGCCACAGGTTGCCCAGGCTGGATGGTCTGTAGGGCCCGTTGCCACGCCAATCAGGGGGGCGCTATCCTCACCTCCTTTTTGCAAGAGTGTCAGGGGGGGGTGAGGAGTTGTCTTCAACCTCGGCCTCGGAGTTGTCTTCAACCTCGGGGTGAGGAGTTGTCTTCAACCTCGGCCTCGGCCTCGGCATCAAAGAAGAGGGTGTGGAGTTCTTCTTCAACCTCGGCTTCAAAGAAGAGGGTGAGGAGTTGGCTTCAACCTCGGCCTTGGCTCCAAGAAGAGGAGAGCGAGGGGGGGTGACGAGTTGTGTGAGGAGTTGTTTTCAACCTCGGCCTTGGCCTCAAGGAAGAGGGTGAAGAGTTCTTCTTCAACCTCGGCTTCAAAGAAGAGGGCGAGGAGTTGACTTCAACCTCGGCCTTGGCTTCAAAGAAGAGGGAGCGGAGGAGGAGCCACTGGACTGGAGGGATTGTCAAGAAGAGAAAAGTGGAGGAGGAGCCACTGGACCTGAAAATGGCGTTGGACCCTATGAGCTCGCCGGTAATGGGGGGCCACGATTCTCCGAGGTCTTTGTGCTTGGAGGCATCGTTCCATGGTGGAGGAGGTCTTTGCATTCTTGCATCCCCAGGGAGATGCGGGAAGATGGCTTTTTGAAGGCCATACGAGGGACCCTGGTAGGCAAGTTGGGCCTGTCGGAGCAGGTGGAGCCGGAGCCTGGGCAGACCTTTTGCCTAGAGATGGGCCCTAAAAGGGGCCCCGGGGATCATTGAGGTTCCAGCTTCTGCCATCATGGCGGCATTGGGAGTCCTTTCAAGTGGGCGAAACAGCGAGGTTTGGCCCATAGGAGGGGAAGAACGACTGAGGTCTGTGCTGTAGCCTTCGCGGGCAACAAGCGGAACTCCTTCTTTTTGTTCGGGGGTCCTTCAACAGATACCCAATCACCCCCTGGTGATTGAGGTTTCGGGTACCCTCACGAGATTGGCTGCGTATGCGGCCCTGGCTTGGGTAAGCAGAGGTGACATCACGCTGGCCGACGCTCGGAGAAATGAGGACTATGGCTCCTTTGTCCTTCAAAGACGGGAGGCAGTCATAGATGATGAACTATGATGGTGTGCCATGAATGACCTTCTCAAGAGTAGTAAGAACTCTTCAATGAGATCAAAGCGCAAAGGAGAGGAAAAGAGAAACCAAAGCAGCGGCAGGGCAGTCCAGAAGAAGTGCAAAGAAATTCTCTGGACTTCGGGCATCCTGACTGAATTAGGGACATCCTGGCCAGAGAAGCTCTCTGGTCAGGCGGCAGGATAGGG